TTCAATCTGATTCTCGTTTCAATTAGTAAAAGCTTATAAAGAACATACGAACGAGAGTCTGAGAGAAGACACATTTTACAAATACTAAGATGGTATCTAATTCGACGACAATGCAGTTCAGTCGATTCGGACGATCCGCGGGATCGATAAGCGTGTGAGAATTATCGAAGAGAGACGGACGCGACTTTTGGTTCGCTGGATAAATCGTAGTTATACCGGACATCGCGTATTGACCAATCAAAGCTCGTTTATGTACTTGATGGTCGTTCCAACTCCGATCGCGCTTCTCGAATTCCTTTTCGAGCATGAATCTAAATTGACGTTTCGAGTCGAGCGAAATCAACACTGTATTTTCGTGAGAGAAATTTTCGGTGTTGAATTTCCGACCTAAAGCATGTTACACTAATTGGTTTTGAACCCCTTTCGAACACTGTGGGCATTATTGTGATGACCTAGTTTAAAAAAAAATTGTAAAAATATTTTTATATTAATTGAGATTACAATATTACTATTCTTTTTTCATAAAAATTTTTATGTTATTAAAATATTTGTGCTAAAACTTGTTAGGGATGAAATTATTATGTGTATATCGCGTAACGTTTAAGAAAGTTTGTAGATTCAAATTTTTTATTAAAATGAGTAGTTTCGCCGATCTCTTTTTTTCCATCATCATATATCGAGACCGAAAGACGTAAACGACTAGCAGTTGTGATCTTTCAGGCAGTTTAGAGAAGCCTCGTTTCACTCTGGTTTCTGGACAAAATCTCAGAGCGTAAATATTTATAGCACGGATAAATATCGAAGCAGAGGGATATCCCTTCCTTTCTTCCGGATGTTTTTGCCGTTCCTCGAACGACGATGTGGCTTGACCGTCTCCATGATAATCTGCAGCAAATCCGAACGAAGCAGAAGCGCGCGCGCGGATACAAATGGAGCACGGTTCAATATGCACATGACTCGGCCATTAATTGCATTAATTATGATGGTTGTCGCAGTTCAAACACAACTTAATCAACGTAAATTCTGAATTTATATCTCGAGAAAAGGAATAACGATGATTAATTCCGTAAAGGTACTTTATTAATAAATAAATTTATTGTCTTATTAAAATAAATTTCTTATCTCTACGCGTGTATATTAAAGCTCGAGATAAACACAAGATAAAAATACTTGAAATCCTGTTCAAGATTACTAAATATTGTCTATGAAAATTATATGCGCTATATTGTTAATCGTTTATCTTTCAATGAAGAACAATTTCAATTTAGATTCATTTAGTTATTATAATTTTGCGTTTGACTAGCTGCCTTTGCGTTAACTTTCCCCGACGCCTCTCGATTTATTATTACGCCGGGGAGTTCGATACGAGACGCCTCACGGAAACTAACTGTCAGCGCCGGAAGCGTTAGATCTGTGCTGGGGTAACACCAGGAAGTACGACCGGTAAATAATATGAGGATAGAATCAAATATGCAGACAGAATGCTTAATCCCGCGGCTATTGACCTCCGTCTTTCAGTAGATTTATGTGAGCTCGGTTTATCGCTCGGCGCACCCAGTTTGTTGATATCGCGCTGCGAGTTGATCTTTTTGACATGTGCATTTCCGTAGATTCACGCAACACAAATCGACATAAAATACATTGCGTAATTAGCTCTTTTTTTTTTTTACAATAATATAGGACGGTCCGAGCTATTGATGCCACACTGAGAAAAATTTCCATCGGATAAACCAATTAAATAGTGTTTTCGATGGTTAATTTTTCCGATTAACTTTTTCGATTAAATTATGTATAAATCCGATGATGAAATTTGATCGAAACCCCGATCATATTTTTTATCGGATGTATAATTTAATCAGAAAACGTAATCGGAAAAATTAACCATCGGAAACACTGTTTAATTGGTTTGTCCGATGGAAAGTTTTCTCAGTATGGCTATTTACTGTTTTCAGTGATAAGCCACTGATTGACTTTTAGAGTGTACGTAAAACGATAAGAAAAAGAAGAAAATCTTCCCGTGCGAGGCTCTGTTTAAAAGAAATCAATTTTGACGATCGGATAATCGATGAAATTTTTTGAATGACATTGAATAACATTAGTTAACGTCCGTTTAAAAGCGATTGCAAAGCAAGATGTGATTTTCTCTCTGGAACGGTCTTTCCTCCAGACCGGAGGGAAGACTTTATGGCATGGGGGAACGCGTATTCTTTCGATGAGGTCGTAGGATGTGCGCCAATACAACTGCCTGCAACCTCGTGTCAACATATGGACGGATATTTCCGTTTCATGTTGGCAGCGACACGCTGTGCGACGCTTGCAATGGAAGACACGTGAAAACACATTCCAGAAACGAATCTAAGTTTCACAAATACATTCAGTTGTCTATTCTTCGCACCTTACGCGACACGTCGTAAACGACGGATTCATTGGAAGAACAAATTAACGCTCTGTCGTTTACAGAAGTGTTGCTCTCTGGGACGGGCGTTGGTGCAAAATGTTTTTGCAAATTGCACAAGGTTCGACGACGCAACTTTCGACAGTAGTGGTAAAAACAATTTCACGGGAGTGTTTTCATTGTCTCGATTTTAATTGTCCCTCTTGCGATAAAGAAATTACTCGCTCTTTATATTGAATCGTTTTACATTGTCTCTGTATCGTTTTAGAGTACTGTGAAAATTATATGATATTTGATTCGCAAAACGTAAAGAGATTTTCGACCGGATGTGCCGGCGTGGCCTAGTTGTGAAGTCAATTAATGGAGATAACGGAGATGATCGTTTACCATCTTTACCATTGTTTGCCACAGATCTTTGTCTTATTTATTTTATACAAATTTTATTGCCGTTATCGCACGTGGTATTGTTAATTTTGACCTCTGCGTGAATATCTACAATTCATTTCCGGTTTTAATTAAAGCACGACCGGATGCTGGCTGAGGTCATATTTTCGCTGTTAAATGCACATGTGTTACAACCTCGCCAGCTTGACTTTCTTAATTAAGAGACTGTTCAGTAGCTCATGCTTTTATTTATACGCTGAGAAAAATATCCTGGCCTATTTAATCGAATAACCAATTACATATTAACAAACGGTTTTATTCAATTAAATTGTATATCCGATGAAAAATATAATTGGTTTTTCGATTAAATTTTATCGGTAACTGCAATTTCATTGAATAAATTTCATCGAATATGTCCATAATTTAATCGGAAAACTTAATAAAAAAACCGATGGTTAATTTTCCATCGGAAACACTACTTAGGTCTGGTTTTTAAATTTCTGGTTAAATGTTAACCAGAGATTAGCCGATTATTTTGCTATTGAACTCTGAAAAGGTTAACTTTATTGGAATTGAACAATGACATTCTTCGTTTGATTGCTGTTTAGAGACTTGGTTTATGAATTTATTCTCGTTTACACAATTGTTTAGTCATTGTAAATTTGTATACAGTATTGTAAAAATTAAGGCTTCTATTTTTTTATTAAGAAAAAATGAGTTTCACTCCGAAAAATCCTTCGCTGTTCACGTAAATTTCGGAGTTTTATGATCGCGTATGTGGCGACGATCGACCACTGGAAAACGATAAAGTCGTTGGCCGAATACTAAAGGTGTACTTCCGGGGCGGACTTCATCCGACTTACGTGCGCGTTCATCTGCGAGTTGGTCCCGGATTTTATCTGTTACGTGATCGCGAGATCGCCGGATATCCTTTACAGGCTATTTATGTTAGCTTCAATTTGAATTTTAGAAGCAAGTGGGTTTAATAAAGTAATTTACAGTAACATCGCGTGTATCGGTTGTTAGATGAAATATATGTATATGATTAAAATTTTAATTTTTATTACGACCGATAAGACATTCTTTCTCACAATCAGACTCTTTAAACGCAATTTGAAAGTTTGTACAAGTAGATTTATGGGTTGCAAATTATTTTTATGACAGAAAATGTCTTCTTTTATAAAGCACATTTTTATCGATTACTTTCGTCTAACATACTAAACACATTACTGGCTACTTGCTGGAATATTTTTTAATACAAACGTTTTCCTCAATGGAGGTGAGAGATTTAATGCTTAATCTTGATTAACCGTAAATTACAGAAATTAATTAGTAAAATTAACAATTTAAATGCAATGAAGCTAGTTTTACGTTTTTTATATAGGGGCACGTAGTTTTTTTTTTTTTCGTATAAAAGCTCCAATCCAATAAATACAATACTGTCTACAATTGTCACTTCTCAGCGCCGTGATTAAAGTTAGAGCGATCCGAAAGTGTCATATGAATAGAAATTGGAGAACAATCGATGCAATGGGGCGATCGGAATTGTGTGCTCCGACTTTTATAACGCAGCAGGCGTGATTTGCGCTTCATGCGGGCGTGCGACAAACGGGACGTGGGAATGCGAGAACTCTTCAATCGAGTGCGCTATCCTCATAGAAATGACAATCAGTGTTCGTAATGGAGAAAGAATTTGTGCGACTTGCGTAACTCGGCGACTCTCTCAACGATTCTGTGACATCTCGAAGTTTGAATACGAAAAGACGTCTTCGATCGGAGGAGAGCGCCGGGAGGAGAAACTTACCTGATTACTGGATAGGAGATTACTAATTAAAAAACCAGAATTACGAATATTAGGACTAGAGATAGAATCGAGTATCTCACGGTTAGACTTGAACTTTCACGATAACTTTCGATTCTCTTAAATTTCGAGAAGCGAAAACACTTGTACGTAGACTCGAGCTTACAAAAGACGTCTATGCATTTTTTACAAGTGCTTGCAGAAACGAAAACAATACTTCCAAGTGAAGTCTGGATTAGAATTGGATTTGATTCGTATATTTCATTAGTAATACTTGGTAGTATACTTGATTCCATACCTAATTGTAATCTTAACACAAACTATAAACAATTGTCTCGCGTATCTCGTTGAGTAATAAGATCTAACCATCATAATTTTACGAGCGCTTGATAAAGGATCGAGATTTACGTCGGTACTTACCTTTATTGGATGAACTCTTGTGTCTTCTTCGTTTGGTCCTGTTGCAAGACGGCTGTCTGCTGTCGTTGCGACGCGAGCCATCGATATCGTCGTGTACCGGGGCTGCCACCGTGTCTGTTTCCAACAGATTCCTGGATCCTCCCGTTTGTCGTCCGGGAGCCACGATATTGCCTGACGCGCCTGTTTCTTTTCCGAGGAAAGTGCCGATCGAGTGCCTCCTTCGGCTAGCGGTTGTGGGGAGAGTGGAGGAAACGTTGTAATATCTGAAAAAGATTTCCCATTGTTTCCCTTGGCTTTTCTCCTTAAGCTTAATATAGAGGGAACGATTTCTTTGAACAAAACGATAATTTTCTCGTTTTCACCTGGCATCGTCCACGCCGAAGAAGACTTCTGCGGTATCGTCATCGTCGTTGCTGTTGTCATTGTTGCCATTATGATCCTTGGAATTACCCGCTAAACCGCAATAGACCATATCATTGGATAGAAGTTCGCTGGCGGATTTCAGGACTCTCCTGGTCCGACCAGGATGACGTCGATCTTTCTCGGAGTGCGAATGCGACCTAAGTTGGACAAGACACCCCATGATAAATACTTGCGATAACTGAATTGACACCCAAGTAGCTGAACGCATTAATCAAGCTCATTTATTTGGCTCGAGTGTTTCACAATATGCGTGCACGGAGAGAATTTTCTCTTGGAGTTTATCCTGAAAGTCATGTGATTGTGGGACAACGTGGCATTTCAGGATAAATTGGAGAAGAAAATTCTTTCCACGTGGAAAAGAAAACAACTTTTACCTGTGGGGTAGATATGGAGACGGCGGCGCAACGTCGGACGGTCTCGGGTCGCCTTTGAGGAACTTCTGAGTCCTCTCGTGTTCCGCGTTCGCGCTCACAGACCGGAAGAGATTGCGGAAGCTCCTCCTCTTGCCGCATCCGGGCTGATTGGCGCCGTCGCGCGACAGCATCGGGACGCGCTCCTCCGTCGGTGTCGACGGCGTCGACGTGCCTGACGCGTTGCCGCGACCCTCGTGGTGAACGCTGGACGTGGACCCCGAGATCAGGACGCCACCCTGGGACGAGGCCGCCGCGCCCATCTTGCAGGCTTTCCGACGAAATAAAGCGGAGAAGCCCCGGGGCGACGTCGGGGACGCCGTCGTCGGACACGTCGTCGTCGCTGTCGCTCTCGACGATGATGCCCCGTCCGACAGCGAGAAGTACGACGGATTATCTGTAAACATACGTATCGAAACGGGTCCGGGTCCTTGATTCACTCACTGGATACTCTCTTCGTCGGCGCTCCGCGAGAAATTGTTAGATTATCGTCGTTAAATCTTCGTGTAGTTATTACAGTGAGCACTGCTTTGAGGTGAATCGGCGTTGCAAAGGACACGAGATTGCGCGAATTCCCATGGCATGTTCATCATTGGCTCGTGTTGTAATTAACATGCGGATGTTCGTTCGGTATCACGTACAGTTAACATTGTTATACATCCTTCACGATATCGCTCTTATTGCATTTAAATCATCAATAGGAAGAGACGTAGCGGTAACTAATCTAAATAATTAATTAATCAGTCGAATGTGTAGCACTCTTTAATGTCTCATCAAATCGTCAAGATAGATCTTCGATCCGCGCGTCAGGATCTAGACGTTAAATGCTAATTAGCGTATTTTTGGTTTCGAACACGATCTGTGCACTCGCGACGTTGACATCGCCCGCCGTAATTTATGTGCCCGTTTAATCGGACAATGAGATAAAAATGTCATTCGAGGTGACATTTGCTGTCATCACGACCCGAGTTTGTCGCGACTGGGCTAATAGCGAGTCCACCTGTGACTGTGGGAGCTGTGTTGTGTTCATGGGACACCATGGACGTGCCTTGCTACGACCATTGGGTTCGGCCACAGTGGGGGATACACCGGACCGGACGTTGCATTGTTCCCCCACCCGGTAGGAATACGCGGTAGCTGCGCCGGAAATGCACCACCTCGATTCGCGAGCCGTTTTACCGAGCCCGACAAGGATGAGCATTACCCAGCCAGATAAATTAACCCGGCTTGCTATTAGGCTAATGTCCATTTCCATCAATGCAGATTAACTTTGATCTCGGTGTAACTTACTTTCGTAGTTTCGTAGTGTAACTTACTTTTTCTAGTTTCAGGAAATTGGAAAGAGAGAGAGAAAAACTTAGTTAAACTGGAATTAAAGTTAAGCTGCGCCGGTAGAAATGGGCATAAGAAATTTTACTCGTTATTCGCACGTTATTCATTATTCGAGTCGTTTATCATCTTCTGATCATTCAAGAATTTGATGATCTAGCGAATTCTTTATTTTCCGTACGCACAAGCTAAGTAAATCTCGAAATCTTTGAGGAAAACACCTACGCGTACGTAAATTTATTTTTCCTTTCAACAGTTACAAAATTTTATCGTTACCAGAGTGAGAAGCGCGGGAAAGTATTCAAGTTATGTCGCTGATGTTTCGCGAATTTAAATTCGATACCGCATAAAAGTGCACGGGGGATTACATTCGCAATTTCGACCAACAAATGTCGTGAGCGGGCTACCGCTTGTCCGTGAATGAAAATGAGAGATGCGAGAGACGCGCAATTATGCGCGAACGACGCGACGTGTTCCGCGTGCCGAACGCGTCTCGGAAATCTGTATGCGATCTTTGCGATCTCCGCTGCGATTGCACCGGGGAAGAATAAAACTCACCGACTGCCATGGTGACTTTCTCCGTAAGAGAACTCAGTTGAGTGCCAAGGATACCTGAAATACAAAATACATACCATGTAGTTCGTGTAAGTGACGATTGTGTCAATCAAACAAATAGAAGTGTGTCAATTTTTCGATCTTTTACGTATTCGCGTGGACGTGTGTACATTTTCAACTATGTATAGTATTTGTCTTTGTGTTATTATTGCACAAACACTTCTGTGCCTGACAAGCAGAAAAATGAAAAAAAAAATTGTATATTGGATGCTTGCAAAATTATTTAACAAATAATTCAAAACTCTACGAAGATATCTGTTTTGCATTACTTTAATTACAAGTAACTATAGTCGTTACTTAATTTAACGAAAGAGAAGTAATCCATAATGTGGTACGATCTCTTTGCAGACTTCTAAAAATATTGAATTTTTAGAATCTGCTTTTTAAGTATAAATTCTATTCGTATATTTTCCACGCATTTGATCCCATTTGCCAGTGAACACTCGAGCTCAAATTTCGATGTCAAAGAGTTCGCTACCGCGATCTCTCTCTCTCTCTCTCTCTCTCTCTCTCTCTCTCTCTCTCTCTCTCTCTCTCTCTCTCTCTCTCTCTCTCTCTCTCCTAATTCAGAAAATCACATGCGGGAAAGTGCAAGTGACCGTCGGACACTTTCATTCATTGCTGAAAATACACGCGAATATTATATTTAGCACGGTGAAAGACACGCGCATTGCACGCACGGGGAACACGACCCGTTTACATTTGCGCGCAGAACGGGGTGGCGAACGAAGAAATGGGGGTCGAGTGCAAATGCGATTCATTCACGTGTTATATGCACGCGACATTATCGCGTTGTCCTCCGCGTATCTCGCATCCGCCGCTATTATCCGTACAATAGAAGCCATCGAGTCGCTTTACGAGAAAACCTTTATGGAAAGATTTCCCATGCACAAGCATAATAATTGAAGATATTCAGATTGTATAGTCTATCAAGCGGCACAATCTATTTCTTTCACTCGAGATAGTTTTTTCATCTCGACTCTACGAGAGTAATACAGTTTCGGTATCTGTGAGTACATACGGAACTTACTTCCATGTAAAATTAGTAGCCTGTTTTTCTCTGCGTTCTGTTAGATTTATATAATAATTATATTTGTCAATCCACGTGACTGGGATTGATGATATTAGCCGGGGCTCTGTGCATAACATCGCATTTTCTCGAATTTAGTTCAGCAAATACGCGATGCAGCGACAATTTTCTGCCCTCATAGTTGCCGCAACAGTTACTATTTTCGTACGATCAGGAGAGGCAGAACGTGTGCCTGGTAGAGGTAGAGATAAATAGAAAGGGCGTGAGAAAGAGAGAGAGAAAGAGAAAGAGAGAGACAAAGAGGAGGGGAAGGAGTAGCAAGAGATTGAAAGAGAGGGAAATAAGGTGATTGTACCCATGAAAAGTCGAATGTTTCCATAGACTCCTTTTCTCGAATTGTACACCTAAAGAAATGAGAAATGCGATATTATAAAGTATACATTATTATGTGCGTCAAAATGTAATATTTTTAAGATGTGAAAATGATAATTTTTTTATTAGATACCTTTCAAAAACTAAAAAATTTTTAATATTTCTTTTTAATAAAATTAGATTAATTTGTAATGTGGAATGAAATAACGTGACGAGCAATTATTAATTACTTATCGCCAAGATATAAATTTTTTAATTGTATCTTAATTTAATATCGAGACGAGAAAACATACAAATCATTGATTGCGTTGAAAATTTATTTATTAAATTTCAAAGCAATTATAAGAAGGCTTACAAAAATTATAATCTCGTAGGTTGCCTTTAGAAGATACAATAAATTGCATCTTACAGCCCGTTTAGTCTAGAAGAAATAATCAAAGCGGAAATAATGTATTACATTAATGACTGCTACGTGTGTGGGTGATGACGCGTCTCGTAAATAAAAAATCTATTGAGCGCGACAATGTCTTTCGTTTCGATTGTTCTTCATCGATTATCTCGTACAAATGCCGGGTAATCTCGCCTTTCTCAAGCTACGGTGCTGCGCCGCGCGCGATTGATTTACGTAAAATTGTCGAAAACGCCGAAGATTCATCACGTTTTACAGAAGAGTTCAAACAGCACCGCTCCCAAAGTTAAACGCGGTTTCCCGAACAAATCACGCACGTTCGTCGCTATTAATAGAGGCGCCTGTGTTCCTGCTACCGTCGCGAAGCACGCCGCGCTGCGTCGCGCCGTGCATCTGCACCTGCAGCGACGCATGGTCCGATAAAAAGAAGCCTGTATCCGGCGATGTGCACGCGCCCCTGTAAACGCGCACATGTGCGGCACACGCTATATCCAGAATGTACCGCGTTGTTCGAGACCATAAAGACGCGGCTCAGCGCGAGCACAATCGAGGGGCTCTTGCTTGGAAAAACGGCTCGGCTCCTCTGGTTATTTTTTATACTTCTGATTCATCCAGTCCGTATCGTCGTGTTGTTTTCTCGAATTTACGTCTCTTTAGGGAAATGACATGTCGCTTGTTATCTCGAAATTACTTTTCGTTGTTTCTGTTTAAACAAGATAACAAGGAGCGAGTACACGTAGGGAAGGAATTGTGTGCACAGATAATCGGAAGGGGACGATTTTTGTAGATTTAAGAAATGTGTGTTTTGAGACATTGGTATACTTTTACAAATTTTGGAAGAAACTTCTTGTTTAGAATAATTCTTCTTAAATCTTTCTTTCTTCATCTTATTTTAGTAAAACAACTGTCGATAGTTTTCACTTTATGGACTACACACTCATAATACAAACTAATCTCTCTCTCGAGAGAGAGAGAGAAAGAGAGAGAGGAGAGAAACCTTGTTAATTACAACACATCGTTAAATTAATGTTAAATAAGAAATAATGAAAAAGATAAAAGAGGCACGTTTTAATATGCACTATATTTATACATATCGATTTATACTGTACACAGATTGCTTATATCTATATCGTGAATCAAATATCCGTTTATATATGAGCCGTACCGTACAAGCGTCCTAAAAATATTCACTGCTGAGATGTAAAGGAGAAGCGGCCCGGTACAAAAGTGGAATTTTCGCGAGACAGATTTATCCCACCGACGTAAGTCAATTTTTGCATAGCACGCCAGAGAGTACGGATATGCAAATATAAGTACAATCGATTTACCGCGCGGCCTGCGAACTCACCTTCGGTGCTTCACCGTTAACGCAGCCTTTCATTATTCAATCTCTGCCCGTTCTGCAATTGGCCCGGGATGATCCTCGAGAGATGATATTTGAAAGAGACCGTATTTATGACGAACTGCGAGCCACGTCATTTTAAGATTACCGAACAAACGACGTGAGAAGTTGACAGTTTCCACTTGTTTCCTCCCGCCTGTCTTCCGTTTCTCCCGAATCGCATACAATCCATAATACCTTCTTCGCACAGCTGATCTGTGTTTTGTAGTCTCTAATTGCTTCAAGCATCTTTGTACTTATTCAGCTTTTTAATATTCTCCTGTATATTCAAAAGTATATCCCTTTGCGAAGATCGCAGAGGCCAGTCTTTCGGAATAAGACTAAACACACAAATTTACGCGCCGAGATGATCGGTCGTTGCGTCAGGATAGCTTCGAGTGTTTCTTGCTGCATAAGAGCGTTACCAATTAACGTAAGAGCACTGCAGACGCTGTCTGCTACGGTCATTTGACGCATCCGTACGTTTGTTGACACTTAATTAACATAGTCAATTGCGAGTCACGGGATCACCGACGACAGTCGATCATCACCGCCGCTCCACTCGATCGCGAAGTAATTGCAAAAATGGGAACAACAATATAGCAGCTTCTTCTGATTCTTCTTCTGATTCTTCTTCTTCACGTTTCAAGCGCCGTTATCACCTCTGCCGTGCCGATATCGCGATAAGAAACTCATTGGAAAGGGAGCACGTGAGCTTTTTCGGGACTTCCCAGTTACCACTTAGGGATCCGAAGGTTTCGACTCCGTCAGGGTCATGCTCGGTCAGGGATCGTGCACGGGTACGGCGCAACACTTCATGAAGCACTGACAAGCCAGACCAGGAGGGAGCCCCGTCGTCGGCGCTACCATGTGATTGCTCGCTCGCTCGCTCGCTCGCGCTCTCTTCAGGTTCTCCTTCTCTTCTTCACTGCCACCACCCACGCATCTGGCAGCGGTGCGAAGGAACGCCCATGTATGCTTCGTACGAAACGTTATTTCGGGCTAGACAAGGACGGTGATGCTGAGACGCCGAAGGACGGTTGGTCGGCGATAAAGAGAAACGTACTCACGTGCGTTCTCCTCAACCCTCAGCACGAGGGTTTCCCTCACATTTGAAAGAAAACTCCACTACGTTCGTGCAATCTGTTTTGCTATGTGATCCGTACAGACCGACAGAGGTGTGGGAGCAAAACTTGGAGTCCCGACGTGTAGAAAATTGATAAAACTTTCAAAAATTAACAAATTAATAAAATTCGCATGGCTCACATGTGATAAACGCAAATTTGAAGGAATAAAGGACTAACAGCCGTGACAAGGTGTTAGTGTCTAAATATATCATATTTGAAATTTATTGCGAAAAATATTACCTCAGCCAGGGTTTGGACCTTTCTCTCACTAGGCGGGCGTCTCAACCAATTCGACCACCGCGCCGAGGCGAATGGAAATGTTCATCGCAATAAACAGTCTAATGTTGATTCCCGAATGCCACCTACTCTGGGAAAGAAAAGACAGTTGGCAACCGATTTTGGGGCCCACAAATTTTGACCGTTTCTTTTTGTAGTTAAGCAACTCAACATTTCGGTTAGTGCCTCTTAAGTGAAAAATTATCTTTGCGTAACTGAATATCGACAGATCTAATTGAGAGAATTGATTAGTGTTACTTAAAAATCTTGGATATATTATAGATAGAATAGCTGATTGCGATTTTTAGTTACGCGGGGTAAAATTCGTAAAAGAGTAGAGTGTGTTACGAACAATCCAAATAATTCGATTACTAATTGTGAGCCCCAAAATGGGTTGCTAACTGTCTGTTTTTTTCCCAGAGTATCGTGATATTAGACCTTTTGTTTCTTCTTTCGATAAGAATTTCGTAATACTTCTGAAAGATACCACCAAATAGTCAACAGTTAGGGGGGAAATATTTCTGTGATGACTAAAACGTATGTACACGCGTGTATCTCGGTGCTCACCTCAATTTTGTCTTCAGGTAAGAATAGCGCCACGCGCGCACGCTTGCGTGTCTGTCACGCATATGCGTGCGGAAGCCGAGCGGAGCATGTATTTCCTGCCCTCGGGAAGCGTATACGCGTCTCCTTGAGCGGCGAAAGGGTTCGACCCTTTCGACACGGTTCTCGTAAACCCTTTGAGCGATCATCGTGCCGTTATTCACCGACAGTCAGTGATTGCTCGATTTAACTGCGACGGAACGAACGCGTGCTGCAACATTCTGATCTGATCACATTAACGATATTCATAAAGCTGGAAATTAATTCCGCAATTACCGCGATCTTCTACCATAGCAAGAATCAAACTTGAATGTACCGTCGGTCTGTGTAAGACCATTTTCGTCGAAAAAAAGTTCGAACATGTTAGAACAGATCTCTGTTTCTTCTTAATCAACTTGTATTTCTTCGTTAGCGAGACTTCGTCACTTTATTCCGTTGCGGAGAAAATTCAGGTCGAAGAACCATTTTACTCGAAATTTGATCGTTTTATTTGTAGAAATTTTAGGTCTGTAACCGACTTCATAATAGACCCGGACACGTGTCGGCCAAATGGTCATACTTCTTTTCACGATAAACTATTGAACGGTGCTGCTACCCCGACATCTATATTTTTCATTTCTCTTTTGCGCGTGACAAGTTCGTGGTGCGCCCTGTGTTCAGGGCATGACCTATTTTTGCGAATTCACGCAGAAATAAATTACAAAAATATTTTATCTCTTAACGTTGATTTTAAACAAGTGAAATTTTGTAAGAAAAACATTATAGAATCTTTGATCACAATGTATGGATCGTGTGCTAATTAATCTCTCGATCGAGATACAAACTTTAAATAACACGCAAATGTGATGAGTTATAGAAATAAATATTAAATAATATTTGAGAGAGTAAAACTATTTCTACTGCTGCAATCAATGTAGCAAATATCTTAATATTGCAATAAAAAAGAATGCGTAAATGAAAAATATAGTACATACATAAATATTGAACGTTACATTATTATTATTTATTTTATTTATAATAATCCTTGCTTTTTACAATCGAGGGGGAAACCTGACCAAAATCTTGTACACCAATGCCCTGCACTAATGCCCAGTGGGCATTACTTTATCTTATTAATTTTCATAATGTCCCATCAAGGCCCACTGCCCAAATTAATGCCCAAAAAACGCCTAGAAATGCCTAGTAATGTCTAGATGCCCATTAATGTCCAGTAATGCCGTAAATCTGTAGACCACAATGCCCTCAGCGGTTTCCCCCTCGTTTACAATTTAGGATGACTTACAATTTACCTATGTCTTTTACAATATTTTTTAAGTTTTTAACATACAAAGGTACACTGTACACATAAATCTATAACGAACATTGTACGTAACATCACTTTTTATTCATGCACATATAAAATTATTGAACTCTATTATTTATTCGTCGCTCTTCAAGGATGCGAGAGAGTTGAAACAGTGGCAGTAAATGACAGTACCAGCAATCACTGTCGTCTCCACGCAAGAGGCGTGCATAATTGATCCACACATTCATTCACGTTTCGATGTGTCTCTCTCCCGTTCGTCTCTTCTCGTGACTTCTTAGAAGATTTGCATTTCCAATCAAGTTTCCGCGTCCCTCCAGACGGCAAACACTCGTGCTTAACGTTGTCTTGCAAAATCAAATCTCTTTGGGCGACGAATCTGTGAGAACAGCAGAAATGCATAGAAAAATCTGTCATTGTTATGCAGTTAATTTTTGCATGTATTATATTCCTTTCCAGTATGTTCTGTAATTATCGTTTCCTAAACTAGTAAGTAAAAGTCAATTACGTTATTTAAAAAATACTTCTATTTTATAGTTGACTTTAGAAAACATTTCCGAAGGAAAGTGAGCGTCTTATCCGTACGATTCGTATTTTCAATATGCAAATCCATCTGAACGCGATTCGTATAAAAGCGATAGGAGTGATACTAAATCTAACGACAGTTCGGTTAAAACAAAGTTGGGTTGTGCCCATTTCCCTTTTTCCAGTTCCTGAGACTAGAAAAAGACAAAATGTAACTTGGGAAAAAAAATATATCTACTCATATCTGAGCATATCTAACACACATTACGTTGTATATGATTGGCTAGGGACAACATTCATATTTGAGTTGGATATAAGACGTCGTGTACGACTGAGCGCGTCAGTGAGATGCGCGTTTCTAGCCGCTCGATAAGATTTTAATAAACAACTTGTCCCTGAAAAATCTCTCGAAGAACTCTCTAATTAAAGTATACCACTGCGATTTTCAGAAGTATATAATACACTTATAACTGGAAATTAGTGACTATTCACTGTTTTCAGTGATAATCCACTGATTGCCCTAGCGAAAAAATTTCTATAAACAACTATAAAAATTGACTTAAAATAGAAATTTGTAGAAATTTTTATATCTTCGTTGAAACTTCGTTTTAATTTTTGGTAAAACTATCTACGAAATAGTATCACAAATTATAATGTTCTCAAATCAAGAAATTATTGCAAGTAGTGTTTCATGAAAATGTAAAAATTAGTACAAAACTTTACTAGTTTTAAAAATTTGAGAAACAACAAAATCTTAAAGAATTAAAATATCTGCTTACGTGTAGAATATTACAAAAATTTTCCAATTCTAGCATTTTCACGTTGATTTTTATAACACTTAAAATTTACGTAGAATTTTATGAAAATGTACAATTTTGTAAAAATTAGTACAAAACTTTACTAGTTTAAAAAATTTGAGAAACAACAAAATCTTAAAGAATTAAAACATCCTTACTTGTAGAATATTACAAAAAGTATTCTAATTCTAGCATTTTTATGTTGATTTTTGTAACACCTTTTAAATTTTCGTAGAATTTCTTAGATTCTGGCAGTTATATTTTCTAGTTTTGTAGAATTTTGTAGATTTTTGTAGAATTATTTCCGGCAGGGTGGCTCTTAGAGAACACGAATAAGCCGCACTAATCCCGCTTCCACGGTCGGTAAAGTCGCGATATATAAAAAGGGTTCAAGGTTGTTTAACCGCGAGTGAAAGCTGCGAGCCTCTCCGGAGTCTTGCGGCGGGAGACGTGGCGGACACTGTGTCGTGGTGTTCGTTGCAACACGTACGGAGTCGTACGACCGCTCGTATACCGAGGCGAAACGTCGCTCGTGGTCTCGCTGCGGATAGTCGTCGGGACTCGTCCTCGTGCTCGTAAGTGATCCTCCACGATTTCCACGCGCGGTTTCGCGGAAGCAAAGGCGATTCCGCGGAGCGACATCCGTTAGTCTCGAATACTAGCTCGAACGCGCCAGGAATCTCGGCGATAACGGTGCTTACGTAAGAGCAAGTGCAAATGGATCGCCATGTCGTCGGCGTAATTCATTGATATTGATAGACGCGTTTTGCGCCGAGTCGATTTGTTATTTAAAATCCTCGCGGACAGATACGCGCGCGCGAATGTAATTTGGTACAGCTGTGAAGCCTCTCCATCTCGCGCGCTCTCCCTCCCTCTCTCTCGTGAAAACGGTGACGGGGAAATTAATAATGAAATTTCTCGTACCACACGTTCTTCCACTGGCGTATTAAACGTGCTTTAATCTTCCCGCGGGCTCTTTTCTGACGATATCAATGCCAGTTTTACGACACAACGTTCATGATAAATCGCTAAAAGTGAATCTTTCGAATAATTCATCCGCTGAAACCCGCTGTTAAAAATTTCAAAGATTCTTGACGAAGACTGACGCAATGAACAACTGCGATTGTATGTCCGCAGCGTTCGTAATAACTTTTTTAAATTTATGCATTTGCTCGCGAAATGACCTTCGCTCTGTGGACGGCTGGATGCGTGGCGCGGAATTAAATCGCGCTCTTAATTCAATATCGAGAGGAAAGTGGAATTTCGCTTTATATCCTTCGGGGTCTAGTCTAGTTAGAAGAAACGAGTAACAAGAAACCTCATTTATTGCGGGTTACGTTTCGAAAAAGGGATTCCGCTCGTAATTTCTCTCGATAATCTCGCCCTTCTGACGTCACAACTGCAATCCTTGCGCGCGGGTGACTCGGCCCCGAGGAAGATTGCTTCAAGTTCAATTCGATCCGAAGAATGGGACGTGAATTTTGGAGAACGGTGAATTGTATCGAGATCCTGAGGGGCGATTTACGTCCCTTTACGGGACGGGGCGCGACGGGGCGCGACGGGGCGCGAGGGTGAACCGCGAGCCGCAACTGCGCAATGGTGCGAATTGCGCGTTTCGCGAAGAGGGTGCCGGCTCGGGACGGCGAGTACGCAGTCGCGCGGGATTCCCCGGGAATCGGGTCTTTCCGGGTCTGCGACACGGTTTTCCCCTTACTCGGTTCACTTTGGCGCCCGTGACAGTCGACGACGCGACGGCGACGATCACGGACTAAGCTCGCTCGCTCTCGCAACAGGTGAACGGGACCCAGGGCCGAGGGACCTCCGACTCAGAGGAGCCCGAGTAGCGGCCGCGACACCTTTCATCCGCGTGTAGACGCCCCCACCGTGGGATTCCTGGAGGAACGGAGTGAGTCGTCGAAGGGGTTTCGGAAAGAGTCGCGAAATGAGTGTCGAGGACGCCATCAATTACTCGCCCAGCGAGGAGGAGGACTATTACGCTCTGTTGTCCTGCGACGAGTCTTCCACGGTGAGATGACGCGAATTCTCGTTTCGCTTTACCAACTTGAAATTTTCTTCCCGTGTGTGTTCATGGACTAATCGCTCAGCGACGGATCGCAGTGATAACGTTTGAATTTCATGTCTGTTGACGTCCGCCGTATGTTAATGATATTAAAAGGAGTAAATCTTGAAAAACGGAGGATTACTCAACGCGAGGTAGGGAGGCGAGGTCAAATCTTATGGGAATTTGGACATATCTTTTACCCCCCCGTTGGATCAATCGCGAGTTAAATCTGCGCATTTTGCGTGGAGCAGGTTGTTGTCTCGCGAGAAACGTTTGCTCCCGGAGTCTATTCGGGTAGTCGTATACGATATTTGGATAATTAAGTCGAATCAATTATTTCCAGGTGTTTCTTTACGTATAGACAGGACATTTACTTTGAATTAATTAGCATCCGTCAATATTAGTGCACTCAGGATATTATAGCTGCAATTCGCAGAACTATTATTTCAAGAGTGAAGTGTCTTTCGAATAGAGAACTCAAGATAATTTTCACTTCTTAACTCATTATGAAATGAATGCATTATTACTTCTGTCGATCAAATTGCACGCGTAATGTAGGCGTCGCCCAATCAAGCTTTCAGCTTGGAATATCGAGAAACGAGTCCATCGTGAAAATTGTATTTACAAAATAAAAGTCAGATACCATCCATTTAATTTGATATAAAATGTAATAAAAGAAAATGTATAAAGATTATACGTTTAGAGAAGTGCCTCGGCATCTCAATTAATTTAAGTAATTAAAAACGTCAATTAATTTTAATTAATCTTAATTAAAAATATTGTTGTGCAACAACTACTCAGTTCGCTTATTTATTAGCAGGCATTTAATTAATAACGACTATTTTATTTATATCTGCTATATCGTAAACGCCATTACAGCTCGATTCGCTGCTTAGTAACGTTAAAATATAAAATTCACGGGCAATAATGTACGAAAATTTTAATTGCTTTACCGAATTTACCGTGACACTTTAACGATATGCACGTACGAGATGAATCTCCTACATCTGTACTGAGATGATTAAATTAAACGTCGAGTTGCCTCTGTAATAATTAGATCCCAGAAGGAAACTGCAATTTAGATTCTCCATTAATTGAATTCTTGATCGACATAATTAAGTGTAGTCTCATTCGCTTCCAGTTTACGATATGCTGAAGTTGCGCACAACAATATTCGCGCTGAAATGAAATCACGTCGTCGGGTCACATCGAGCATGAGATTGTCTCGATAGATTTAAACGCCTACGTTACTTTATATACACCGTTTTCTCCAACAATTTACAACGAGGTATTAGCGGCGCACGCGAAAATCACATTCAGTTGCAACAACTCGAACGCATTGGGACTTTACGGGTTTTTTAAATTTGAATACGACATTTATTTGATTGCGCGCTCTTTATCAGCAATACGTAAGTACGTATCGAGAAGTTCAGTAAAGAAACATGATGGGTAGATCGTTTGCCTTTCCACTCTTCAGTACACGTTTTGTTATCTCGGTTGAGAAGAATTCCGATAAGAATTCCGTCCCCGGTCGATCGCGTTAGCGTGTTCGTGACATGTCGTTTTCATCGGCGAGATACCACCAACGCGGTGTTACTGCGGACAGCTGAGATATCCGGACATTCCGCGTGTTTACAAATCGATTAAGTATCAAAGTATAGCAACGAGAAATTGATTAGATTTACGAATGTCGAAACTGTGGTCCGTTCTTTCTTCACAAAAGTTGTATATTTGTAGTTAAAGTTTAAAATTTATTCTGTCCTATTGTGAAAAGTACATCGTACGATCCTGTTTGAATCTAATAGATTTAATACTTTTTGCATCCCTCTGATTTAACATTTAAGTATATAATGCGTTTAAAACGAAAGAATACAGAGAATAGCGGGAGAATATATAATCCCGAAGTGAAAGTAGATTAATCCCCATTCTCGCAATTGAATGATGTAGATAGTTTTTATTCAATTTTAAAAATCAGGTCGAGCAGATTACGGCGGAATATAAGGTATTAGCTCTTCAGTATCATCCGGACAAGAACGACGGTGACAAGGAGGCCGAAAAGAAATTTCAACAACTAAAGGTAAGCCTCTTGCACAGGCAAACGTTAATTAATTTTAATTGATTTTCAGTCTAATTAAAATGTGCAAGCAGAGAGTGAGAGAGAGAGAGAGAGAGAGAGAACTTTGACGATTTGTTTGTATCGTAGTACGCAAAAGAGGTTCTATGCGATCCCGAAAAGAGATGCAATTACGATAAATGGCGGAACAGTGGAATCAAGATCAGTTATAAACAATGGCTCGGCATGAAGGAGCATGTGCAGCAGGTGAGGCGCAATAATTGCCGCAGCTATTCCTCATTTTGGACGACAAGCTGCGGTTTATCACAGTGTAATTTGTTCTTTTTCAATGCGTATTGGAAAAAATTCATTTGTTCGCATGTGCCGTCGCGTTCAAAGGTGCGAGCTTGTAAAGCGTGCGTCGACAATTCTCTTTTGTAAATTTATAGCTTTAAACAACAGTTGTAACTTATTCGAAATGCAAAAGGTAGTTTCATAGCAATTTTCGGAGAGGTAGGCACACTAACAGATGCGCCACTTATTAATTTTCGACGAGAAAAACAACGGGCTAGGACCAGGATTCGAACCTGGGACCTTCCGCTTGCCGGGCGAATGCTCTTCCGACTGCGCTATCCAAGCCCATCCATAAAAATGATGAAATAGTTTCATAATAACAAAGGCGCGTGAAAAAGAGTAGTTTTAAACCTATCTTGGGATAATCTGCTGTACCAATCGTAGTAATTGACCGCACAACGGGAGATGCGAGTTTATACGAACCTCTAGTCCCTTCCCGAGTACATCTTCCCCGAGCGGAAATTGTTTTACTAATTCCGAGTAGATTCTCTCGCACTGAAAATAGGAGCGCCGCTCCGTAGCAGCGATAGGGGTCCAAGGGCCTTTAACTTTACGTTTCTCGTTACGTCCTGTGAAGTTAACCGAGTCTTGCTCTGTTCACAGACCATGCACTGGAGCACGCCGAAGACAAAGGACAGAATGCTGCCGGATACGACCGAAGAGGCAGGTGGTTCGCCAGCTCACCTCAAAGGTCATCCTACAAATGCGCACAGGAGGGCTTCGGAGGGTGGTGCCATGAATCTCTACTACCGTTCGGGCCACGGCGTCCCCCCGTTCTACCAAGAGTCCAACGAGGTCGTCAGTAAGTTTCGTAATTACGAGATTTAAAGGTCCCCAGTGTAATTCCCGCCGGAACCGACTCCATTGTACCGGATGCCCTATGACAACAGGAACATGTTGCATTAGACAAATATCTACCTGTATATGAGTGTACGGGCCGTTGGTTGGACCGCATTGGCGTGTACATGCATTCGCGTAAAACGGCGAGTTGAGGGGGACGCGTGAGTCCCATCGCTCGCCACTGAGCAATTTGTCATGTTTCTACCCTCCCGTTTACATGCAATCTTGCGATTAACATTTACTGTTATTGCGTCATCTCGTATTAAGTTGCGGACGTGACGGTTTATTGTCGATGTGCACGACGAAACGTTTCAACGATCGTACACATATATACATATTGCTTCGAGGAAACCTCGCGGAGGTAATAAACGTCGGCGCGAGGTTCTCTCTTGGACAGACGCTTCGTGGATTACTTCTTCGTCGTTCAGGATGCATGCCAACTCGATTCAACAAACGGCCCCGGTACACGTGTACGTGCTCGCGATCGCGCGTACGTATATGTCGCCTTCAGATTTATATTTTGTTATACTATACTAAGCACGACGAGAGGAAGGGATCGAGGGACGTGGCTGGAGGACGTTTGGTATTATTTAAACTCCCTTTCTCTGAGGTCTCCCGATTAAACGTCCGACTGTCCGGTTGCGAATGTCACAAAGTCGAGTCTCTCTCGATCGCGCATTCTATGTGTGTGTCTCTTGATCTTACGAGATGTCTAGCGACAGAAGTTAAACGACGTAGTGTCAAGGGCAGTATAGTTTTATCTGTGATCCCGCGAATGAATTTTCCGCTAGTGGTTAACTGGTCGTTTCAATCGTAAACACATTGGAAGGAAATACTCAAGTCTCTGCCGAAGGAAAGATCTTATCCGCGAATTCGTGGGCGGAATTTCATCGTTCTGGTTATCGGCAATTTTCAAGCATCAATTAACGTACAATTGGTTTTCGTCGCAAGATAAGCGACCGTCGCATTCGACGTGAGTAACGTTCGGCCAAAGACATCGACTTTAAACGTTGTGTACGCGGTTACGAAAATTGGACGACGAAATTGCCAAACGATTGAACCGAAATCCCGGACCGCAAACGTTGCAAACGTCGAGCTCACAAGATACGACGTTTTAAATGAAGAGAACGTAAATAACCATAGAGCTCTCTATCAAGGATGTAAGATAAAGATATGAAAGTAGAGTAGCTTATATTAAACTGTTATAAAATGCAATGTCTATATTATTATATATTTTGTCGAATAAGTGTTGCTACCGATTCCGCGAGGCTGTCTTAGATAATGACGTTTCCAATGTTTCTCTCCGAGGACTTGCTCGACCGATCATCATTGACCGCGACATCAATTCAGGGATCCAATTCCGCGCAACATCGGGCTGACGTTTCGCGGAATAGAGCTTAAGTATTTCTTTCCGTAATGGAAACAGATCGACGATGGCGCACTTGTACCTGTGTCCGATGTCAAACGCAAGATACGTCACTCTCCTCCGACGACAATTGCGACGGCTCTCCTCCGGTTTGTTAAATAACGACACGCGCGTGCGAATTAGCCGCGTTTCGCTTCTCCAAAACCGGGTGTTCGAACCGGCCGCGTTTTCGGCTCTTCGCTCTTCGACGCTGTAAGGACACGAAAGAATCTTACGTCATTGGAGCAAGGAGAACGTTATTTTCGTGCGTTCGCAGCGTCGAAGGCGTGGACTTGAACGGAAATGAATTCGGTTTGAACCTTCGGTGGAAACGATGAACGTTCTCCGCGAATGATTTTCACGAAATAATTTTTACGCGTCGCACTTTTGCACCCCGACGCGTTCGCGTCTTCTCTACGCTCGATACGGCAGCCGGGACAATTCGTCAGTGAATTGCGTTTGGCATGTAATTGAGAATGCCTATTTATAACCGATAATTAATAATAACTTAGTGACAGTTAATCCTGGATGTGTCGATGTGTATAATCTTACGATAATGCGATAAGCGACTTCTCTTGGGGAGCTCGTCTCTCGTTTAAATACATTAACGAGCGCGTCGTTAATGCCCTCCAATTTCGCTTTAGGTATTTCCTAATCGAGCGCGTTGCATCTGAGCATCCGCGTATCGTTGAAAGACGAAGCGCAAGACTAGATAACGATATTAAACCGATGAAAATACAGTTGGACGGGGATGCCTGGATATGACGTGTCCTATCTGGAAATGATTAAATGGAACTGCAAGACGTTAATGACGTCGAATTGTACGTCTTGCCTGAATCGATCGATCTTCCATTCCACAGAAATAATATGATCTCCCGCACCCCTCGTCAAAGTCCAAGACATATCACGATGGGTTCATTTCGTCTTCCCGTTTGCTTTTCGAAATCTTGACAGAGGAGCGATTAAGGCACGGATTTTATCTGCGCGGAGAGACAGGAGGATGTAAACGGGGCGAGAATTGAAGCCTCGATTGGGTAAATCTTGCACCTACACAGGCACAGTAAAAATGGCTAATAAACGGCTAGTAAATGCCAGTGGAGAGAGAGGCAAAATCAATATTACCAACGAGTCCAATGACATTTTTCCATCTTAATTTTAGACTCTCGGGTTAACTCTCTTTTTTTTTAAGGGAATGAATTTTTTTCACGGAAAGGATATATACGTCGCTACGGTAAGATAATTATATACTTTTTTTTATAAGTCCTTCCCGGATGAATGAAATAATACGGTGATTTATTGATGATGAAAATTAAATTGAGAAAAAGCCAGATATATCGTCCTCGGGGCCTTCAATTTCTCTCTCTCTCGATTCCAAATGTTACGATCCGCGGAGGGATCCGTTCTTGGCTGCAATCAATTCTTAATGTCACGAATACGCAGTGCCAATGAGGAAGCAGGTCAAATCGTTACTTGTTTACCTTGTCATAGTATTCCTATTTTGGTCGAACGAAAAAAACGATAGTTTTAGAATCGAGGACTAGAGAGGGAAACAGCGAGAAAGTTAATAAATAACAAAGCTAAAGAGCTACGGAGAGAAAGAGCAGGGAAAATATAAAATTGCGCAACTTACATGTGGGACGAACTTTTCGAGATGTCGCGGACTCGAAAGCCCTCGGCTTTCTTTCACTATCGCTTCCATTCTTCCGTCAGTTTTCTTAGACCCTTTGTTAGGAGACCCAAGAAAATATCTTGCTGCTCGACTTGCCTCCCTATCGGCTCTGTGCAAGCCCGACGTTAGTGCGCGGTCAATCGAATTAGTCGAACGATATATAAGCGTGCGCTCGCGCTTCGTCGGATTCGCCGCGCGATCGATCCTGCTCTAGACTTGCGAGACGGCGGACGCGCAGCTAAATTTAATGACATATCTGCGACAAGTGAATCGCGCCTGATTACGTTAGAAACCGACGCCGTCGAATCCATCGTTCATCTCAATTCATCTATTTCAAATGGCGAGAAGAGGTGTTTCTCCATTTTCGCAAATTTAATCGACTCGAAAGCGACTTTGCAAAAAAAAAAGAAACAAGATCATGGTACCACAGTTTCGACTTCTTTTTTAAAAGCAACACTCGTATGCTGTTTACACGCGCAATATGTACGTAATATAAATTGAAATTAATAATCGGTAATTTTCTTGCCGTAATGACTGATGATGTAACAGAAACATTTAAAGTGGAATTTTTCATATTTCCAATCTTTCATATTTTTTACACGTATTGGACGGTGTTTGTCAGGGGCTTCTCCCACGAAGAAATTGAGATTGGAGCTTTATCCGGACAAAGGGATAAAAATTGGATAAAAGTCGGATGAGCAAGTGAGCCACAAAAAGTTTTAATCTCGTCGCGACACACCGACCAAGTTTTAGGTAAAACGGCGCCGGGCAACGGCGTTCACGAAATTCCTCCAGTCTAACTTCGACTTGTTTAAGCCCCGAAGAATGTAGCAACTAGGTCGATAAGTCGTAAAAATAAATGAGGAATTTGAAGGGGGAAAAAAGTAGAGATCGAATCTCGCCTCTGGCACTGGCAATAATATCTTTGTGTTAGAGGAAAGTAGGAAATATTACTGTTTATTGGAAAATATTAGGAAAATTTCGCGCATCGCAGAGAATAATACCCAAGTAATTCGACTCGGTCGTTACTCCCTCATTTATTAAGCGAACAAGATCAATTGTACGTGTTAGAGCTAAATTAAACTAACGTTGATCAAAGTGGACGAACGATGTTATTTTAGAAGGAAGGGGTTCGATGGCAGGAAGATTGCAGGAGCTACCGCGTGCTCTTGAAAAGTTTTCCATTTTCTAACGCAAGACGAGAAATAGCGCGGCCGATCGTGACCCGCTACTGACGAAAGTCTATTGGACCACCCTGTACATGTATCTATACCTATATTTTTCTAGACGGGCCCGTGGATTTTGGCCTGCGAAACGTTGTTTACACGACTATATCATACATACCTATTTGTCGTTTACGATTGACCTGTCGCTTGAGGGAAAGGTCGAAGTCTGTTCAAACGCCTATCAGTACGATGCTCACGATCGAAGAGCCCCGATACGTTCCTTTTACGTTACTACGCGCGCGTTTAAGACGCCGTCATTGGATAAGATGGAACTTGCGCGTTCCCTTCAGAGGGAAATAAGAAGAAAAGCTGATATCCTTCTCCAGAGGATTTTACGGTCCATTGAGTCTCGACTCGACTCGAAATCTAAACCATGCCAATTCCAACACAGAATCAATTACAATTGCATATCTTTATCTAGACAGAATCTTTATACGATAGAATTTTGCATTAGAACATCGAACATTTCCGCTTTGTATTGTATAAAATAAATTCGCGGAAGAGAAATTTATGAGAGAAACTCATATCACATGCAGACATTTACTTATAACATTTTTAAAGAATTCTGGGAAATTTACGATTTTTGAGTTAGCGAGTTAGTTATGGATTTCAAATTAAAAATGCCTCGTTGACAGGCTCGGATTGAGGGGAGGGCTAAGGGGGGCTGTAGTCCCGGGCCTCGTTTACTGAGGGGCCCCGCCTGTGACATAGTTTCGTAAGTAATGTGGTTCGTTTATGACTTAAACGAAGTTTTACCTAAATGCACAATTTCAGTTAAACAGTCATTAGAAGCAAATAACATCTTAAACAATAGTATTTCTGTTGCGGTCAAGCTGCCGCTACAAATGCTTCCAAGTGTTTCTTTTCTCGTTCCATCTCTTCTGAAAGCGAGGAGAGGAAAAAATAGAAAGATTTGTGGAAATGAAAGATAATTGATTCGCACACCTTTTGTATAAAATGTGCCCCCCCCCCCCCCGCCTATTCATTAAAGGGCCTCCAAAGTCAATAACTCCGGGCCCCAAAAATCTTAATCTGACCCTGCTAGTTGAATTAAAGCGCTTTTAAAAACAGAAGTTATATATTAAAAGTTATGTTAAAATTGAAAGTGTGTCGCACATCAGGTGGCTAAAAAATTTCCTGACTTTTGCATTTATAAATGGCAAGTTATTAGTAGTGTTTGTAAACTGATTATGTAATGCTAATTATGTTATCCAACGTTAGAAAGAAATCGATAGCTGTCTTCCGCTTCAACGTCTATGGCTAATGATCGTAGTCACCAAAAGCTTTGAACAATTAATTACAAGAGCATAAGGTATAAGTTGTGTATTAACAAAAATAGCGAGTCCTTTTCTTTCCTCGTGTCGATGAATCGACGACACTTTGACGACGTGAAATCAGGTACGTAAAGATATTCAATTGTGATTACCAAATCTTCAAGACTGCTAGTTTCACGTTAACTGATCGTAAAATTGTCGTAAAAACTGATCGTTAACTGTTCATTAAAGATTGACGATTAAAGATTAGTCCTTCTAATGTGATTTTTGTTTACATATCAATTGATTAGTAATTGTGTAATCGTTATTGTAATTAAATATTGCAGATACAAAAGTTGGAGTACAAGTTATCAATTAATGGAAAGTGTTTGTTAAGAACGATGATTATTTAAAGGGATACGAAAGAAAATATTACTGTTAACACATTCATGAAATAGTTTAGTCAATTACGTGTCCTGCGCAGCTTACTGATTGGAGAACAGTATTCTCGATCGTTCTTACGAGTCGTGTGTGTGTGTTTTGCGTGCGTGGCAGTGCGAATGAAATTATAGATTGTGTATAAATGTCTATATGCAGTTAAATGCGTAACCAAATACATATGTTGTATATTCGTCTCGCGCTGGTCGACGCGGCGATGTATTACTCGTACCACTAAAAAATTCAATAAATGTGTTTAATTATGAAACACCGTTTCGCGTTTTGATTATTTTTAATGTTTAACAATATTTACACGACAATCATTCATTATTTCGACAAATTCAGGGCATTTCAAAACGGATACATGGTATTTATCTCGAACCCTCTTTACAGGAACCAAGATCGATGTAAACCAACAATATTTTTTCACTGTTATTTTATAATATGTACTTTTTAATATATGTTGAAACATTTTTGCAATAATTTTTGTACATTTCTACAATTTTTAATTGCATTTCTGATGTTGTTTTCGCGGCTTAAAGATGGAAATATATCGCTTTATGTAACACAGATTTGTAATCCTGTTTGAAATAATAATTCAGCAATCTCATTTTATAACGTGATTCGTTAAGGAAATTAGCCATTTTCAGGTTAATCGAGTAATGACGTTACAGCAGTAATGCCGATAATTGTCAAGCTGCAGGTAACAGAGTGATTATTGTTTCATCGCGTGTTATTCCGCCACACGTTTCTCTGAGCGGAATAAAAGATAATGCCTCTCAATATATATATAAACATTTTCGGCGGTTAAAGCAAAAATTAATATTTGTAATGAAAAACGCAATCTATCGATTTTTCACGGTGATTACGCGATCTAACAATGAATTTTCCATTAAACAGATTTCGCTCCAGAGGCAATAAATTTACTCTAATATTTGTTTATAATTGTAGTAACTGAAATATTTGCTTCAAGAGTAAAAATGTAATAATTATTGTCGCAATAATCGCTACATATAAAACATTAGAGGAAAATTTTTTATTATGAGATAGGTTTTTAATACGAGATAGCGGGTTTTCAACATCCAAATTCAATCACAAATCTTTTTCCGCAACGATTACCCGATGAACCAATGAATTTCCCACTAAACAGATTTCACTTCCAGAGCAATAAATTCATGGTGGAATCGATAAACGATGTCTATTAATTAACAGAAACCCCGCTATCTCATATTAAGAGTCTACCTCATAATAAGACACTTTCCTCTATCTATAACCTACAAGGTAAAATGTTAGATAATGTAAACTGACATCCCGGATAAATTTGGATCCCGTTTTTCCTTCAGCGTCTCTCTTCTTCTTTTTTTAATTAAGCGTAGGAACTTTGAACAATGCAAAAATGTTCTGGAAAAAAACGTAGAAAAACGAACTTGCAGATCGTTATCGATTTGAGAGTAATCCGCGTTGTTCTCTCAGCTCGTTCCCGTTTTTCGCTTTCATCCACTGTTTTCGTAAGTTGTACGGAAAACTTTGTATTTTCCATGCAGAATACGCGAGGCCCGGCGCACCGCGCCGCGCCGGATGATTGGGAACTGGAGCGAAACATTTGCTTCTCGCTTCGAAGGCTTCTCCGTAATTTCGGTCGTTTATCTGACAGCTGCCTCTGGCTTGATTTTTGTTCATGTACCGTGCAGAGTATATCATAGAACGCGTGGACAATCTTTCGGGAATTTAGAGTGTCAAATTTCGACTCCGGTTTCCTTTTCAATCGCGCGTCTAGAGAGTTCGAGCAACGTTCGCACAAATTTAACTAAAAATAGAGCCAAAATTTGTTTCCTCGTATCCAAGTCGTGCTGCGGGTCTCCGAATGAAAAACTTGTCGAGTGAACAAGCGATATGAGTGAATTAGTTATCTCGGAGTTACATTTGAAGCCTATTCCACTTTTATGCGCGAATGAAGTTTGAAGGTAGAAAAAAATATCCGAATACGAGACGTCCTTCGCGGCCGTACACCAGGTTTCATCGGGAACGTATTTTGCCGTGCACCAGTTTCCGTATAAATCTGCTCGTTCATTCTCCACGAGAGACGCGTATAAATACCACTCCACCTGTCCACGTAACTGCATAGAACGCACATCCCTCCACTGAACTGCAAACAGCCCTTTGAATGCCATTATCCTGCCTACGTTGTTACTACTTAACGTCGCGTCCGCAAGTGTGGCTGCGTTAGATAACGAGAGCTGGCCGTTGTTCCCGATCGGTTTTGCCCGACAACGGCTGTCTGTCGGGACGCCAAGTCTGTGTGTCAATTTAAACTTTGACCTACCAGCACCATTCCGCGCCGTTTGCCATAGACCACCTACGTCTCCCTTTTTAACTTTCCTGCACTATCGCCGAACTATTTTGCCGCGAATAGAATTTAATATACCTCTTTTTTTTCGTCACTTTCGGGCATAATTATCTCGGCGGGGAAAAAGAAGACAAGATGCGATTACGGGACAAGGCGGTTATCGATTAATCGTTTATATTACAGAGGTAATTTCGTTAAATAATAAATAGACAGCGAACGGAGTATATTAGCAAATAAATCGCATTCGAGCCGGATGTCCCATTTATTTAAACAATATTTGTTTTATATATTGCTTTATATTAATAATATTTAATCTACTGTTGTTAACTTTTTCCTCGTTTTTCGAGAAAAACGTACGAGAAACGAGGCATCGTGATGCGCTTTGCAGCCACGTTAATCTGTATCGACACAAGCGGAAGGGAAATACGCAACTGGGAAGGAGGGCAAATCGATATCGTCGCTCTCCCGTGAGCCTATATACACACGGACAAGTGTAAGCGTTGCATGTATATGCTTGTGGTGCAGCTCTGTGTGAGAAGTTGCGTTTTCCAAGCCCCATAGTAAACGACGCTCACGCGTCGCTCGATAACACCGACGAGAAAACGAGATATCCTCTTCTTTTCTTCGTCATTAGCTTCTCGCCATCATCTTTCATCGTCGTTACCCTCACCATTATCTTCGTCATCATTATCATCATAATCATCTTCTTCCTTCCTCCATTCTTTCCCTTTTGAACATACATATCTCTTTGGGAGAACGGCACAGGTGCTGTTTACAGCTCCTCTCTTTTCTGTACCTTTTTATATAAGAGAATACAGAAATATTTATAGAAGCATACGGCGCCACGGCACGGTTTGGTGCGAAACGTCACCTAGGTTGATTTCTGTTATCCGGAACCTCCCAGCGCCGTTGATAAAATCATCAACAACAATTGAGTAACCGACAAGACCGTTGGTGTAAAAGTTTTTCTGTAATTGCTAAAATTTGAAATCTTTTTTATTGCTTCATTAAAGTATTCACGCTGGTGGTTGCAAAATTTTTAATTGACAATATCTCTAATTAATAGATCATCTTCAGTATTTTATTGATATTTTTAGTAGTACGTTATCATTGGCAGCCTGAAGAAACAGCAATGTGTGCTGCGGCATCCTCTTGATAAATACGTGGCAGATAAAAAGCTGTAAGACAGACGAACATGCGTAATAACAATTGAAAAAACAGTTGCGTAACAATATGCAGGGTGAGTCGTGAAGGCTGTCCCAACCTTTTACCATAAGAGGCGAATTACCGACCGCAACTGTAGCCAACTCGGAAAAAACTAGATAAAATCTCGTTCTACATGTCTCAATCATGCAATATCTAATTATTTCTCGAGAAATGTAATTAGATATTACATGATTGAGACATGTAGAACGAGATTTTATCCATTTATTCCCCGAGTTGGCTACAGTTGCGGTCGGCAATTCATCTCTTATGGTAAAAGGTTGGGACAGCATTTACGACTCACCCTGTATATGACGCGTCGCACGAAAACTACGTATAAATAGCTACAAAACATATATAAAGATTAATTGTAAAATTATTTAAATGTTGGTTTGGTAATGTCAGCCATTTTAAACTACCACTAACCAACGCGAGTGCTCCGTGTCTTTGAGAGATCGATATGAGTACCAACGAATGATATAAAGACCACTTCATTTTACAAGAGTTGTGCAACATTGTGCAGCTTTGAAAAACATAGTTGCGTAAAAATATGTATATAATATATGACGCTTCGAAGGAAAAAAGTACGCATAAATAGTTACAAAATATTCAGACTAATTGGAAAATTATTTAAATGTCGGATCGGTAATGCCAGCCATCTAGGAAGAAAAAAAAAGCAGTAAGACGTTTGTATTCAAATATTGAAACGTGAAAGTAGACGGGCGTCTAGTGCGACTAGTGAGGCGCCCGCCTGTTGAGAGGAAGGTCCAGGTTCAAGCCCTGGCTGAGGTAAATTTTTCGCAGTAAATTAAAAAATTAACATCATTTAGACACTAACGTCCTGTCTTGGCTCTTATATCCTTTATTACTTCGTATTCGTTCCTTCTTAAGTTTTACAATTCTACAAAATGTTGCCCTCGTTCATTGTTCAATTATTCTTTCATATTCTTTGAATGAAAAAGGTACAGAAGAAATACTTCGAACACTACACCAACCGAGAAGCATTTCAGTTTTAAACTGGACAAGTGGCCGCGAATAACATTTGACGATTGAAAGCAAATAAACCGAAGGGGAAGAGTACGGGCGGTCTACCAAATATTTTCCAAACGTTTATAAATATCTTCCGACGCGTGAAGCGAAACTGTTTTCCGCAAACATCGTCACGTCGCGAGCAGCAGTTTATTTATTTCGATCGAGATAGAGGTGGAGAAATACAAACGGGAACATTCGCAACATATTTCGATAGTGCATCGCGAGCCACGGAACGAAGACCGGGTAGACCCGCAATTGGAAGAATTGAACGTCCATCGTCGTACTCTGCAACCGCACCCGTGCCGTGCTCCCTTAGTTGAGGACGTCTCCAACAGGTGGATTACGGGGCTACGACGCGACCCTGCGTCCCGCGAGAGGCCTCAGTAGCGGTCTATGCCGCGGCGTGCGAATGTTTGGAACGGGTGGATTCGCGTCGCCCTGTATACGGTCGGTGCGACAGTCGCGAGTAGACCGCGAGGACGAGTACCGGAAGCGCGGACCCGCAGTCGCCTCGCGTCGCTTCCGCGGGTCGCTTCGATTTTTTTTTCACCCCCTCGTCTCTACCCACCGCCCGCACTCGCGCGAATGGCAAGGAGGCGCGTGCGGCTCACACGCGGGTAAGTACTACGTCTGGTCGCTCCCATTATTAGAATCGCACCGTGCTCCGGATCGATACTTGATTCTCTGTCGTCGCTCTCTCGGCGACGGATGCTGCGGCGAGCGAGAGAGAGAGAGAGAGAGAGAGAGAGAGAGAGAGAGAGAGAGAGAGAGAGAGAGAGAGAGAGAGAGACAGAGAGATCTCCGGTCCTGTCTGACGTGCGGAGGGTGGTCGCGGAAGGATTTTTGCGTCCCCGACCTGCGATCGACGCGTCGACTCCGTATATTCGCAGCGGCATTAAATCTCCGGCGGGGATGCGCTCTGTTTTCGCGAGCGTGCGGATTAGGCGGAGGATTAAGAAGCGGCGCTTGTCATCTATCACTCGCTAGATTATTTCGGCGATGTTGCATAATGCTGCCGCCGTCACTTCTGGACCCCGAAGAAATTGTAACGGCAGAAATAACTTAATATTAATCGTCTTGGGGGCTGGCGTGGTTTGAAATTCATTTCTCGAGTTATTATTGGCAGTCGTCGAAATTCTCCCTTAATTTTTTTCTCTCTCTTTCCCCTTAAAAAAAAGTCGAAAATATTTTACACGTTAAAGATATATTTTACATTACGAATTGTTGCACGGAAACCTCAGAAGTGGGAGACACGAACGATTTCGCGCGTCGAACATCCTTCGCTTCTCTTGAAAATTTGGGATTTTGACGTTGCTCGGAACCCTCTTCAATTTTCATTTTGTATCTCCGGCGAGGATCGGGGATGAATAAAAGATTATTGTGGAATACCTGGAGGCCGCGTTAAAATTAGCCCGCGTATTATGCGCGTGGCCAAACGACGGGAATTATTTATCTAGAAAGTTCAGAGGCGCAATATCCTCTTCCTGTCCGCGGCGATCGCTGCAGAGCTCGCGTGCGAAACCAGCGATTTCGTCGTCCGGTTTCGCCTGGCGTCAGGTTGAATTTCGGGTTTCTCGCGGAGCGTTTGGCGAAGATGTACATACGTGGGAGAGAAACTGTCACGTGCGCGGCCATTTAAAAAGTAGGTCCTCGAGCGGCGCGGTATGCCGCGGTGTACCGCCTTGAGCAACGCACTGCCCCGGGAATTTCAATGAGGATTCAGTGGTTTTTTTTTCTTTCGCTCCCTTCGGCGCCTTACGTAAGGCGCGGTATGCCGTTTTTCCCGTAGCATCCGGTCCGGCCGCGTCTATCGTCGCGGCGCAATGCGTGCGGAATTATGCTGATGTACGCGCGGGCTATCGGTTATTGGCAATCGCGAGATCGCGCGCGATTGGCGGGTCTCGGTATGAAGAAGTTTATTACTAGCCGATAAGAGCACTCGCTCGCGGCCTCATTGTATTGATTCGGGCTAACCCGCGGCGATTGGTTCCGTTTAACTATTCGTTTAACTATTCAGGAGAATTGTACAGTACTGGCCAAAATTATGAGAAAAATTTTCATCCGATAAACCTAGTAACTTCTTTCCGATTACGTTTTCCGATTAAATTACGGATATACGTCCGACGAAATTTATCCGATGAGATGCAGTTACCGATGAAATTTGAGTGAAAACCCGATCATACTTTTCATCGGTTATACAATTTAATTGGACATATCTGTTTGTTATTATGTAATTGGATTATCCGATTATATTTAATCGGACATTTTTCTCAGTGTTTGAATTTTGACCTTACTACACTTCTATTGAATTAAAAAAAATGACTTCTTTACCTTAACCAAAATTTTATTTGACTGAGACTGGAATCTCTAAGAGAATTTATATCTATTTCGTCAAATCTAGCAAGTGTCTTAGTAGAAGTAAATAAAAATTTAGTAGATTCAAAGAAACATGATTTCGACAAAAACTCGAAAGGTGATATAATTTTGGCCGGTACTGTATGCGAAATGCATGCCATTCTACCTTGAATTCTTAATATTTTGACACAAGTAAAGCCATTTCAAGACCACCGAGTATTAAATCTTCGAATGAATTTAAATTCATTTATCGGGCGATAAGTTTCAATAGTACGGTTGAAATGTATTGAAATAAATATACGACATCTTGCCTGTGCAAGGCAAATAAATGCATAATAAATTTAAATCAATCGCGGGCGTTAATACCCGGAACTTTTTTCCGACATGCGATCGGAGGAGAATAAAAGGGGAGAGGGAGAAAAGGAAGAAACGAGGAAAAGCCCGCATCGCTCTACGTTTTCATATAGCGTAGACATTTTACGCATCCCCGGTCGCCGTACCTGCAAATTAACGTCTACCGTGGTTTTCTCACGTGTCACCGGAGTATCCTACTTTCTAAATGATAGAAAAAAAAGAGAAGCGGGAAACTGCGAGCCGAATACCCACATACGAAGAGTCCGAGCGGCAATTACGTTAGTGCGATTCGCGTAATAAATGCCAGCGAGTCGTAAAAGCCCACCGTGAAATTTGATAAAAATGTTTACGATATGTCTAAAAGGCGCGGAATAAAATCGCGATTTATCGCACGTAGGCGTGACGAGAGGCGTAGACGTGGACCGTGGAAAAATGGATACACGTCGGAGCCGCGTTATCCATTATAGCGAGGCGAGGTCCTTGCACCCGATGCGCAACACGCTCGTGTTTACGCGCGATTTTTCTGAATATTTCGCCGACGAAACCTTTAAATGTAACACCGTTCGCGCAAGCAGCGCGGAGGTTTCTCCGCGCTTTCTAATTGCGCGAAAGGAAAAGAAAAAAAGCGATCGCGCTTTGCATAATTAAAAATTACCTTTCTACGACGTGTTCGCGACGAGGGTCTGCTGATAATTGAAATTGCGTATAACGGGGGCTTGTGTCGCGCGCACGACATATTCGTGCGACTGGGATTTATGTGCGTTATATTTACGCGCGCATTGGTACACGGAGAGAATTTTCTCTTAAAATTTATCCTGAAAATCATGTTATCGTGGGACACCGTCGCATTTTGAAGAATTTTATGCGGGTGTTTTTGAAATTTTACCATACATTTTGCTAGTAAAATGTGTACTAAGTATAATTACTGGTAAAATGTATGGTAAAATTTCAAAAAGTTCATAAAATTGTCCCGCGATTACATGATTTTCAGGATAAATTTTAAGAGAAAATTCCTTCCGTGTACACGAAGTTGTTGTCGCGTTTACGCGATATATTCCCGTCGTGATGTCGTGCGTGTATACAATAGCGTGTTTTGTACTGTTCGCCGGCGAAGTAAAAAAGTCATAAAGATGCGTAGAGGTTTAATGGAATATTTTACAAATGCTCGAATGCACCCGAAGTTTTTATATGGAAATATTAACTCTTACCTTTGCAAATCGAATGACACTGTTTCCAGTCGTCGCTAAATTATGGAATCTTACGGGCGTTCGGTTTCTCCGAACGTCTATTTCGTGAATATGTATCGACGATCTTTGCATCGAGCCCGAATAGGGAAGCGCGGTTCATCGAACTTTAAATGTAATCCGATGAAGTACACGCATCCGTGGCTCCCAATGCTTCGGCGTCAATTGTGCGACGACATATTTACGCAATGTACGAGGACCGTATATAAATTGATTGCATACGAATTGATTGCATACATTTTGCGCACAAAGCGCGAACATTTCCTGTATTCTTCACATTTGTGAGCGCGGTCTTTGTTTTAATTAAATTTTAAATATCTGCAATAAAATTAATGAAATTATAAATTTGCTCAGCAATTTCTACCGATCGCTTGTAGAGCGGAGTTGAATTTTTTTAAATCCAGTTAACGAATGAATATACTTATCGCGTTTCTCTGTTACTTCCGTTTTCGAGCAAACCGAAAGCAGACTTAACAGCGCTCGCGGACGATCTGGAAGTCGCGAAGAAGTTCCTTGCGCGGGAGTTCCGGTTTTTTTTTATTTAGCTAGGAAATGAGGGAGAAAGTGCCGATGTTCGATGCATGAGAAATGAAATCTGGCGGACTAATAAGATTTGGTTATAAGAGATCCCGCCGCGAAGTAATTGGCAGTTCTTGGCAGTAATTTAACATCTTCGGTGACATTTTAATTATATCGAGCGTCACGTTGGATCGTGAGAGCACCGTTTTTGATCGATGGCGCCTGCGAAAGAACTCGGAAATGCGCTTTTTATGAAACGAAACGTTGCATGACGGCTTGTGACATATAAAGTGGTCTGTTATTGATGGTTTCAACCGGGAAACTGATGATTTTACGTGAAAAATTAGGTAAAAAGTGCGAAAGAAAATTTTTCTAAAATTTTTCGAGGTACAACGTATTTGTCGACGGATTTTGAGAAAAACCTGACCAGAAAATTAATTAGAAATACAACAAATCTTAATTTTTTGTCCAGATATATGAAGAATGGTTTTCTCAACGCCAACCATTTTCGTAATTGCGGTCAGCATAAACTGCTCGCTTCTTGGCGTTACATAATAACAAAATCGGGAGAACCAGACGGAGATTTGCTGTCTAATTTTAAAGGTAAAACAAGACGCCGAGTATAAGCGCTATCCAATCAAAAATTATATAATTTAATTATTTGGATACATTTTGTTAGAACAAAACATTTTTATCTTTTCTACAAAAGTAATAATCAACTAAGATGGATATTTATACAAACTAGATATTTTATTATCTCTGATATTAAAATGTTACATCTAAATAATCGAGCATACGATTTTACAGGAAAAAATAAAAGAGACAGTAATATTAACGAGACAAATTTTTAATACTTATTCAATAAAAATATAATGCAAACAAATTTAATACAAATAAATATTTTATTAAAAGATGGCCTTTTCTAGTTTAATTGGATACATATCGGTCCTGATTCACGACATTATTGTTTATTAAAAAAAACTTAGCGCTGCTAAACCGCTAAAATATATTATACAATCTAATCGGAGAGAATCAGACGGAGATTCGCTGTCTAATTTTATTCGCGAGCTGCAGCAGCGTTCTGTACGCGCGAATGAGATTCGCAACACCTGCGCGATCGGGCGTTCGGTTTACGAATATTTTAA